GTCTGACAGATGAAGTGATCTGTCGCCGGGTGCAACTTCCAAACAACTTCTTGAAAAATCTAGAGGATTTTGAAATTTCTCCCAATGGGAAGCTAGGCATTATATCCAGGGGGGATGAAAATATCAACGTGCTGGATTTACACAGTGGTAAATTACGGGTGGTCCACGCCTCTGGGATCATCTGGCGGCAGAGGCTGTCTCGAGATGGTCGCTACCTGGTGTACATTTGCTTCCGGAACGGAGAGGAAGAGGATGAAAATGGAGCCGTGTCTAGCTTAATTGTCATGAGACTGGCCGATGGCAAAAATATCGGTGCTTGTTCCCTTTATAAAACCCCAACTTTTCTGGCTCTCTCACAGAGGCACCTGAACATCATTGTGGGCTTTGATGATGGCAGTATAGGGATATACACCGTGGTGGACCGCGTAGATGCTGCACTGAAAATTAAAATCGCCACTTCAAACAGCAGACAAATTTTCAACAATTCGCCACAGTCATCCAGGCCTAAATGTAGTAGTCATAGTTTTAAAGTGTCAGTGGACTGTTTATGGAGAGAGTCTACAGAGGTCTTTGCAAGAGATAGTCCTATCACGGTCAGTGACTGTACCGAATCCAGCGAAGCCACACCCTCCAAGAAACACAATTCTTGCTATGACCGGATGTGCTCAGCCCTGGAGTCCAGGAGCCACAGCTATGCCCCTGATAACTGACAGAATGTTTCTCTGCCTGAACATCATTGTGGACTCAGTGTAAACACATGGACACACACATACACACACACACACATGCACACGCACACGCACATCTTCTGTATCCCAAATGACAAACTGCTATTTCCTAAAAGACAGGAAAGACACGAGTTCTGAGGTTAATGACTAACATGCTTGCTCACAAAATGTGAGACTGGTTTTGAGTTTGGTCTTTTTGTCAAAGTTTATCTGGGAATGAAGTCTTGACTGAGAATGTCTAGAAACTATTGAAGTAGTTACTTCACCTGGAAGTCAATGGATAGTTTTAAAATTAGCTGTTGGGAAGAAGCAACCTAACTCACCCCATTGGTTCAGGGAGGCGTGCCTAGAGCTATAGACAGACTATTTGGACTTGAATTCAGGCTGTTGAAGCCGTGAACACAGAGAGCTGCTTGACTTCAGATGACCGTGTGGCCATAAGTAAACAGCCTTAATCTCTCCTTACATTTTACAGTCCTGACAACTGTGTAAGCCCAGTCTGCACACGGAAGGCCTAAAGGTGCAAAACAATGTGACAAAAATGCCCAGATGTCCTCCTGGTTTTCCAAGAGGAAGGACAAGAAGTGTGAGGCCGTGCACTGTACTTGGGCCAAGGACCACCTCCATCTTAGGGCTACTGAACGCACAGTCAGTCTTCGTTAACATCCGGTGTTGACAATTGCATGCAAGGTTTTCCGTATAACAGAATGTATGATTTTTACACTATTTCCTGGGCTGCAAAAGAACACATTTAATAAGAAACCACAATCTTTTCATGTCTTTCCGAAATGCCTATTTGTGCTGGTGTAAAGAATAATTACAGAAAGGGCATTACAATTTTGGTCAAAACACCTGTTCATTTCCATCATTGTACTCACAGAAGTCCGTGCTATTCAGTCAGTGGTATGAAAGCAAACATTAGTTCCAAATTTCCTACAGCAAATCTTAATAGGAAGATAGCTTTTTTGACATGCCATCTCAGAAATACTGATGACATTTGCCTTACTCATTTCTCCTCTTTCCTGTGCAAAACGCAGATAGATGACCAAATACTCTGGGATGAACTTAATATGCCTGTCTCTGTGCTAAAATATTCCATAAATCTTAAGGGTGTCCAAAGGTTCTTTACTGTCCCCGTTTGTAATCACTTTCTTACTTCTACACACTGTACGTATGCTTCTTTATCTGCTAACAGTTCCTGCTTAAAGACTTTTTGGAGCCTCTAACAGTCTTACCCATTTCAAAGCGGAAGCTATGAAATGGCAGCAACTATTTTTTAAAAACAACTTCACCTATTTAAAAGAAAATATTATATCCTGAAAGAGAAAAGTGATCTTCTTCCTTCTGTATCCTCCTGTGGCAGGTCATTGAATAACTGGCCAAAGGTGGCCAGCAATGGTTGGCTTGGCTTTATTTGAAAGTGGCAGTTGTCACATGCTTAGGCAAAATAATGAACAAGGAAATGATTTGCTTTTGGTCCAGCTCTGCCATGAACCCATCACAAGTCCACAGACAGATCTTTATCCTCTCCAGCGTATTGTTCTGGTAAACTACAAAATAAAGGTAGTGGTAGCATTTGTGGTAGCCTTCATGGGATTGGAGAGAAGCAAGGTGAGAAAAAAAACACAACATCTTAATTGCTCATACTAATGGGAGAAACCGAGATCTCACTCATAGGAAATCCAAGCTAATTATATTTACTTCAGAATGCAGTTTGACATGGAAGCATTCAGAGGTAAAATTCAGATGTAAACACTGTACTCCATGGTGAAAGACTTTTCCAGTAACTTCCTCCTGGCCCAGGCCAGTATAGATCGCCTAAAGTTGATTGTATGAGTCCATACTTTGTCAGTTTTTCAGAGGCAACACATTCTTATTCCTGTCATTATCAGTGGAATCTCCATGCCACACATTTCTAAGAATTAATGCCTAGATGAATTCAATGTAGTGTGTGAATGTTCTATGTAAAAGCCAATAGAGTTTAACAAGTGACTTGAATGATTTTTCCTAAATTGTTTGCAACTGATAGCTCATATTGAATGTTTTTATGTAAACTTTGTATTGTTGGGAAGAATTACCCACTCAGAGATTTATATTTTCATAAATGTTACATTTAGTTAAATTTTGTTACAGAGTTGTTACACTAGACAATTATGTAGTCTTAAAGCAATGTACAGTCTTGTGGATGTATTGTTTGTATGAATAAAGGACAAACTACTTAGATTTGTGCAATGTTTGTTTACCACCACCAAGACCCCCCAAACTGTGACAGATGTTGTAATAATTCTTGGTGCTGTCGAGTGCTCACTGTATAGCAGGAACCAGCTTCCAACCTTATGTAATCTTCGCAGCAATGTTAGGAGCTAGGAACTGTTGTTCCAAATTGACAGATGAGAAAGCTAGCAGCAGAGGTCCAGGGCAAATAGGGGAGTAGGATTTCCATGCACCACTGTATCTTTTTCTTCTTTCTCAAAGCACATAAAAAATAGTGTGTTGATTTTCCCAGTCCTTGCCAATTCTGCTGGTATGGGAGGCACACTTTAAAACCCCCCAAAAGATGAGTCTTTCTGATCAGAATAAGCTCACTGGTAAATGTACTAGAATGCTATCGCCATTACTAAACTATCAGCGAGAACTTGGACACAAGCATCCTTTATTGTTACAAAGGGTTTTATCAGAAAGTGATGAAAAAGAACATAGAACTCAAACACCGAATGAGTCCACTCGTGTGGTACAGAGGATAAGCAAAAGGATGAACTAAAGAAAACAAAACTAAAACATTTAGACTATCAGACCAATTGATGGTCACCAGTAGGGAAGGGGGCAGAGAATGGGCAGTGAGTAAATCGGGCAAAATGGGTCAATTTTATGCTGAAGTTTTGAATGGGACTTTCGGTGAATTTTTGTAAATACACACCTTGAGTTTTAATAAGGCACACCTGAACCTTTTAAATTATAACGCAATGTTACTCTAATTAAAATCGGTAATTAACCATTCCAAAAGTTGAAATGAATTAATTCTCCTTCACTGTTTTACAAAGATTTCCCACGTTACTTATACATGTATATATCAAAATGAAATGACAAATGCAAAGGAACAAAAACGCACTTTAAAACATGCAGCTACTAAACAACAAGGGGGATTAAAACACTGAGCCCCTCCCCATTAAGCACGGCACAGTCCGTATAAACAGCGCTCCACTCCCTGAAACCGGCACATTGAAAAGCAACCGCTCTGTATCCATCTTTAAACAGTGCTCTGACCAGCACCCCCATGATCCCGACTCTGCCGGATGCGTTGTGGGGACAAGAGAAAAGCTAGGTGGCGCATTTGCTTAAGATATTTTCCAGCCAAGCCTAGCGCTGACTTTGAAGAACAGGTGAAAAGAATTTCTAGTATGTAAGTAGCGTTTAGGGGCGTAGCAACCATCCCCACCCATCTTGGGCGCCAGGTCTGCGGCTCCTACTTGCGTGTTGCTCAGTCGCTCAGAGCGAGGTCGGGGCCCAGTGTTATCTTGGGGTCCCAAGAGACCGGGGATAAGAGAGGAAGGGGATCTTGGTTCCACCGACCTCACAGCGCCTCCGAGTGCAGTGTGTG